CATATCACCCGTCTCTTGACGTAACCACGAAAATAGGAATTCCAGCGGTGTCTTCACCGCAGACCTCTCAATCGCTTAACATACGCCCGGACACTTGTCCGAATTGGAATTGGAAGAAGGCAAATTATCGGGAACTTTATGCTGTCTTGGCTGAAACTGATTGGTCGGATGTGCTGCACGTTGAAGACGTGGATCATGCAACTGAGTTATTTTACTCTAAATTATATGGATATATTGATTTATATGTGCCAGTTAGAAATAAAAATTCATATGTCAATTCAAAGTTCATTTATCCAATTTGGTATACGGAGGACATAAAAATCAAATTAAAGCATAAATATTTTCATTTAAAAAAATATAAAGCGGAAGGTAAATTATATAACAGAGAATTATATAGGTACTATAGATGGCATACCAAGGAACTGATTCGAAACGCATATCGGCGTCACATGCATAATGTCCAAAATAATATTATAAAGGACCCAGGCAAGTTTTGGGCATACATTAAGGACAGGAGAAAGAACAGAATAAACATTGATTCTTTCACCTACGAGGATGATGTAGTGACCGAGCAAGCAGCTGCGGATGCATTCTCGCGATATTTTGGATCGGTATTTTTGGATGAGGAACCGCGCTTGAATCCCGATGATGCAGCTCGCGCTGCATATTCCATCATCGATTCAAGATCAGTAGTTGTCCCAACACTGGACAAAGCGGATCTGAACGCAGCGGTAAAACGTCTAAAAACGAGATCATCTGGGGGCCCTGACGGGATCCCTATATTCTTTATCAAGGATTGCATAAAAGTACTTAACGTTCCACTACTACATTTATATAATTTGTCTTTGGAGCAATCAAAATTTCCTGATCGTTGGAAGCTCTCATGCGTCATACCGATTCCAAAAGGTGAACCAAGCCCCGACATTACCGGATATAGACCAATTGCTGTGCTTTCTGTGTTTGCGAAAGTGTTTGAATCTATATTAAATAACTATATTAGCCAGCAAATCAGTAGCCTTCTACATGACAGTCAACATGGATTTCGCCGAGAGCGTTCTACTGTCACTAATCTCACAACACTCGTGGATTATGTTAGCACTGAGATGGATGGTGGTAAGCAGGTGGATGCGGCCTACTTTGATTTTAAGAAAGCATTCGATCTTGTAGACAATGACATTTTGTTGCAAAAATTGGCAAAGGTGGGTTTTGTACCAAAACTTCTCCACTTTTTTGCAAATTATCTGAGAGATCGTCGCCAGTTTGTGCGACTAGGAAAATTTGTATCAGAAAAGTACTATACGAGATCTGGAGTAAGCCAAGGAAGTACGCTTGGGCCGACGCTTTTCTTGATCATGATTAACGATCTGCCCGAGACTGTCAAAACAGCGCGATGCCTCCTTTTTGCTGATGATTTAAAACTTTATCTCGGTATTAGAGGCGCTGAAGATACACTAAGTTTGCAAATGGACTTAAATGCTGTATCGGAATGGAGCAGTAAGAACAATCTCCCTTTTAACAACACCAAATGTAAAACTATTACTTTCACGCGAAAACGAAGCTTTATAAAAGTGGATTATAAATTATCTGACGTATCTCTGGAAAGAGTAAATAAAATTCGCGATTTAGGACTAACTTTAGACTATAAACTTGACTTTCACACACATGTGATTAATATTAGTAAATCTGCAAATAAGCTTTTAGGTTTTATTATAAGAACATCATCCGATTTCAGTGATATGTCCGTGGCTAGTGTATTATATAATGCCTATGTTCGCAGTAAGCTTGAGTATGGAGCAGTTATTTGGGATCCGCACGAAGATAAATATGAACTCATGATTGAGAGACTACAAAGAAAGTATGCACGCTGGCTATATAAAAAAATCTACGGCTATTACCCGTATTTGTACCCGTCTCTATTTGTATCAGGCATGCTTAATCTGGAGACCCTAGCACATCGAAGAAAAGTTCTTCTCGCTGCGCATTACCTCTCTGTGCTCTATAACAAACTGGATTGCCCAGATATATTAGAAAAGGTGAGCATTTCGGTTCCCATGCGTGTTTCGAGCGATGCTGCAGGCTTAGTGAAACCACGACGAATGCCGCGTCTTCTCCCTCGACCTCTCACTCGTACTGTTTATGCTTCGCAGGCACCCACAGTACGCGCAATGCGTCTGATCGGTGACATGCTCGCTCATCACGAGGAATCTGATTTATTTGTGGATGGTGTAAGACAACTAGTAGCTATGACTAGACAATTTCTAAATTTTATAGAATTCAGCAGCAGGATATAGTTGACATTGTGTATTCATACTGACATTATTTATTTGAATTGGCATGTATTGTAGTGTTCCAAATTGTAATTTATTTCTCTATATTTTATTTTATCATTTTAATTTTGACTTTTAAGCTAAGCTAATGGATTTATCAAATTTTAATTTGACATTTCTTATTATTCTTGACATTTTGTATAACTTGCATGTGTGTTGGACATAAAATCTGTGAACTTGCAAGTGTATGTATAATAATAAATAAATAATAAATAAATAAAAAGGATTGGTATAAAAAATTGATTAGAAATGTGTTATTTAGCATAAATACACAGGTTACCCACGCAGAGAAAGTGGTAAAATAAAAGCTGGCAAAATAATTTCGGGGTGTGGGAAGTCCGTTTTTCGATTTAGTAAATCGTTCGAAATACCAATTTTCGGTAGAGTCAATTATCCCTCCCCCTTCTTCTCACTGAACGTTTGTTGTTAGAAACTCAAACGACACGTCTGTCGTATTTGTATAAACGAATTTAATAGGACAACTATTATACTTATGTTAGCTTTACAAGTAAACAACAACTTTGAAAACAACAAACGCGTTTTTTTGTGCATTTTTTGACGCTAGCCTATTTTTTTTAAATAATACATTTTAATGGAGAATTATTCATAAGACGAGAAAATAATATATGGATGATTAATGAGATCCTTAATTACTTACCAGAGGGGTGTTAAATTATATTTGCTATAAAATGTACTAAATTACCGATAATTATGGATGACTAAAATCATAAAATACTTACTTCAAATAAGCTACTTAAATATTAAGTGTAAAAATACTGAATGGACGTAACTAGATTCGTTCGATAATTAAAAATTGAGGAAATGGCAGAATATCTATTGACAGTTTATTTTGGAATCATGCTCTAAAATATCTGAAAATGGTGATTTGAGGAACCAAGATAAAATTGCTATGAAGATTAGTCGTAGAATATTGCACAAGCAAAGCATCAGGCTGTTTGAAGCCCTTTAATTAAGGCATAAGGAAATTAAACAATTATATTTTTTATGGAATTTATTTCGTCATCAATTTCAAACTACATCTTCAAATTACAATTGATTATAACTACTATAAGCTATAATTTTTAACTAACACCCTTCCATACTACGTCTTTTTGAAAAAAAATTTTGACACGTTTCAAAAACTTTCAATTTTTAAAATATCTCATTCCAGTACAATTAAACCTACAACCCTTTATGGGCCTAAAATGTTTCAGACTATCAAACGTGAAAGAAATAGCCACAAACTGTTACAAACCTTAGCTCTTTCGTAACCCAGATTAATTTAGCATATCACCAACACTATCTTTCAAGTCTGAACGTCTTTTAGTACTTATAATTATAACTATTTATTAAAACTAAAATTAGTTGCACGCTTGCGAAAGCTGCTCTGCGGTGGTTTAGTATATTACGTACATAAATAATTATCTCACGTTAAAATTCGTTCATTCTCATACACATCTACTGGTTAAACATTAATTCTACTGTACTCTAAAATTATTACGATGTAACAAAACAATTATTTTATAAAAATTAGCTTGTAAGTCTCAATCAAAGTATTAACTTTTTAAATCAGGTACAAATCAATAGGTATAAATAGGTAAGTAATATAAATAATTAGGTAACTGAATCAACCCAAGGAAGATTACATTGAGATCTAGTTGTCATCAACAACTTAAGTAAATAAAGTTTATAAAGTAATATCTCACAATTAATACAAGTAACGTTTTAAGTATTGTTATACATAATATTATTTGGCTTTAATTAACATTATATCGACCTTAAAAATCACAGAAAAACACAAATAGTCACTTAATTTGGTATTAAATCGTTGTAACAAAATATTTTAAATTCAAACCAAATTACGATAAATTACAAACTAAGCTATTTCATATATATATAATATATAAATTTAAATAGCAAGGGCCCCGATACACCATTTACAACCTACTTAATTCTAATTAATAACAAAAAATATAAATTAGTCAGTGTGATAGTTACATAACACGTGCATTCTTTTCTTTTCATCTATGATCTTAATTTATATGTGCACAAAACACTGGGGTTAAATTGTCATCGTCAAAAGAAAATTTCCATTTTGATCTTAATACGAAAACTATGTCAAACTCTGACTACTTAAAATCATTTAAAATTGGCCAATATTTCGTCCAACATTTTTATTCTGACAATCTTAATAGCTATCAGGCAATGTCTACAGACTATTTGATTCATTAAAAAATGCTAAAGATTTATAGGCATATGTTAAAAATACTTTATCGAAAGACGAACTAAAGATCTAATCAGTGAATAGTACTGAAGACAAAGTATTGATAACAGTAGCTGCAATATGATGTGAATAGTTATCTGCGTACAAAATTTTGTACTAAATTGATCGATTCGGTTTCCGTGACCGGCGAAGTGGATGAGTCACTCGGTATTTTCATCCTTACAATTATACACTCTATGGTTTCGTGTCAAGGCTCTATTTATCATAGCAGTCACATTATGTTGTAGTAAATATGGTATACACATCGATTTACTTACAACCATTATAGTCCTGACCTTGCTGTCATTTTGAACATTTAAAAGTGTAACGTATCCATACGTACGACTATTTCAAGATTTTCAAACAATGACTCATCATTTGTAATGTTTTATTTACATTTTTTTTTTCTTCAAACAATTAATACATATTAAAAGCCAGTATTGTGAGCGTAAGTTAGGCCATAAATATAAAGGAATTATAAGCATTCATATATTTAATAAGTACACGTTTTAATTTAAAATGAATCATAAAAAGTACTCGAACACTATTGAATATCATGAAGATTGTATATAATGAAGAATTATTATCTTTATTGTTATAAAATATTATCGCTTGCGTCAATCGACACAGAATACAGTTCAGTAAACACTAATTAAATTGTATCGTAATGAAGTCTCGATAAATAATTGATGAGTAATACCAAGCGTAAGTACTAAACACAAATTACCTTACAAAATACATAGTTTACTACATGAAATAAATATCAAAGATTATATGCGAATAAATAATATATATTTAATGTTACTTTTTACAGGTTTCTGCGGTGATGGGACTAGCATGGTGTTGCACGATGCACAAATTCTGTGCGTTCTTATTTTAAATGTACAAAAGCCCATATTCACATAACAAACTTATCGCTAAGTTCTCCTAACTCTTTGGTATCATTCTCTGGGTCTTCTAAAGCTATACAAATAACAGATTTTTCTGTTGCAAATCAAAAAGAGAAAGGCGCAATTCATAATGCCTCCTTCAGCTTGAATCCAGCTGCTGATTCAGCAACTTGCTAATAAATAAACCAATATTTATTAGCGTTAACATCTGTCTTGTGATAGTCCGAAATGTTACATTTTGCGTTCAAAGTAACACAGCGGGTAATGGAGTAGACAGTGCCATATGTTCGGCTCCCCTTACTGGAAGTCTTTGTGCCGTGACATAATGTTTCATAAGAGCGGGGACAGTGGGAAATGCTGTGGCAGCGCCACCTAATGTGTAGCCTTCAGTACCACGGCAAATTCGCATGTGCATAAACCCACGGGTCGACCTGAAAACAAACGAGAAGTCTGTAAGTTTCTGAAACTTTAACACTTCTACAATTATGAATAAATAAAAGCTAAATTTAAATGATATGAAACTAGAATAATACAGGCATTATCGTATTGGTTACATGTACTTACTTTAAGCTCAATGAGTAGTCATGTTTCGCAGATTCACTGTTGCGTACCAAAAAAGCGCCTTCGTCGGCATCTCTCAGCAAACTTTCAGCCTCCACACGCGTTAACGTACCATGATACCACCTGTAAGAAAAGATAATATTATATTTATAACCATATCGACAAACCAAGTTAAAACTGTAAATAATATAAAAATAATAGCTTAAAATCAATTTTGATTTACACACCCTTGTCGGTCAAGTGGAAGAGAAGCATCAACCAAATCTCGCGGCGGAGCAATGGGTCCCAAATTCAAATGCAATCCTTTAGAGCTGCCAGAACCACCGCCATTGCCGTCGAAGTTCAATGTTAACTTTGGACGATGCTTGTTACCTGAAATTAAAAGAATACATAACGATTAAGGTCTTTACCATCCTTGGAGGACTCTTCTCAGCGCAGGCCTACTCGATTAAGTATAACTTTTAAGTTGAGAGAAAGCTTCTAAACAAGCAACTACAACGTCACATCTCATTATGCGTCAAACACGATATTCTCTAAGGTTTCCAACTCTTAACTCGAGTGAGCGGTTACAAATTACTCCCAACATATAGAGGAAAAAGTTCCCTCAAAAAGCACTCAACCAAATTAAATATTGGGAGGGCGGTGGACCGAAAGATTTCGTGTGGAGCAATCTGAAGTCATACGTCTTAATCGGCATAATGCGGTGGCGATCGTTTCGAATTAGAGGATTCTAAAGATCTACCAGATTTGACAGACCCTTCTTAAGACCATTTCTTTTGAGATTGACATGAATTGGTTTTGACGTATTGTCTTATAAGATTAACATTACTTTATTGTATTTTCAAACTTTTTTTTTTATATTAAACAACATCATAGGTATACAATTACATTGTTCGGATCTTAAATTAAGTAGCTATTTATTGAGGAACTCAAAAACAACAAAGATAATAAATCACCCAGACCCAGACAAAATAGAAAAAGTACAATTTTTACATTGAAATCGACTCGGGAGCTTCTTGACCACGAAGGTCATACAAAATAGAATATATTTATGTCAAATTAATAAGTGATACTGACCTTGATTTAAATCCTGAAAACTCTGACTGGATGATGCATTGGAAATTGCTCCATCGAAATCATTATTCAGTTGAAGCGACTGTCCTCGTAATTTTCGGCGAAGTTTCGGCATATCGAATGGCAAGGATCTTAAGTCGGCTTCAGCTTCAGCACGACGTCTTCTCAACTTCGGCATGTCAAATGGTAGATCTGATAAATCTAAGTCATCATCATCTTTACGTTCTACCTCTGTATTGCTATTCTTAAAATTTATAAATGCATTTCTTGAATCAACTCCTTCTCTTGAGTGTATTGAAATTCCACTATCAGACCCTTGAATTTCTGCATCGCCTGTCGTTGAATGTCTAAACGTGAGATTTAATAAATTCCTATTTTGCAGTGCTCGACGTTTTGGTTTGGCAACAATTTCAACAGTAGTTTGTATTGTATTGTTTCCGGTTTCGCCGTCTTCCGGTGAAACCTTCTGAGAATTATTGTTTTTGTTGTTATCTGATGTTTCTGAGGCAGGTTCTTGAGAAGATTTATCCGATATAGGACTTAGAATATGTAGTTTAGCTGTGTGGTGTCCAAACCCCGAGAGTTGCATGTGGTGTGACTTTGTGAATGGGACGTTTCCCGAGTCGGAACTGTGGGAACTAAGTGAAGAGGAATGGCGACTTTCTGAGCTACTACTACTTCGATCTCCTTCGCTGTTACTACTTCGGAGCGATTCCATACTACCTCCACTGCTGCTTGTAGCCATACTTTCTGTACTTGAGTATTTACGACGTGGACGGGTAACTCCTGGCCTTCCCTTAAATTCCATTATAGGGCCGACCCCCTTTGGCCCCGAGTACCGATTCAGTTCAGGTGTGTCAGAATCGGAAGTGGGTCGACCCTTAATCTCTAAAAAAATACCGTCTTTAGATTGTCTGTCTTCATCACCATCACGAGATTCACGACTTGAATCCCTCAGTCTTTGACCAATATCTAATTCTGTAGAAACTGAACCCTTTACATCAACCATACTAGCATCACTACTAGTTGGAGTTTCCCGCGCTCGTAATGACTTCACAGGCAATCTCAAATCCTTCAATCGAGGGTGTGCTGGTTGTGATTGTGGCAAATTTGGGGCACTTTTAATACTGTTCATTGCGGATCCATCTTTCTGAAATTTTGCTGGTAAAGGGGCTGTAGATGGTGGAGATGGTGTATAACCTCTCAAAGGAAGTTGGGAAGTAGATGCTGTCCTATCTTCTTCCTCTATATGCACTTTTTCTAATTCCTCGGATAAAACACAGGCGTTACCTTCATTTTCTCTCTTTTGACGAATAGTGGGAATTTTCGACCGTCGTACACTGTCTGTTTTCATAGTCACCTTACGGCGACCTTTGTAATCAGGTTCGCTACGCTCAACAGCTTCAAATGCAGAGGAGGCCGAGGAAATAACCTTACGCTCTTCGGCATGCAAGAGCGCTGGATGGTTACTGACACGATCAAAATCGTCCAAGTCATCATCTGAGCGTGCAATTTTACAGTCAAAAGCTGTTTCATAAATCTGTCGGGTGGTCATCTCGTGCGACCAGCGTGGCAACGGCGCCGGCACGTAAAAGACGCTGCGAGAAGGACGATGCTCCTCTACATCTTCGGGCGCGGCGCACGCGCAGCCGGCCGCGTCGCGCCCGCGGCGCCTCGGCGGCATCCACGCGCTCTCACCAGACGAAGATGACGACCGTTCTAATTCACGGAAGCCATCTTCAGCTACTGAAAATCGTTTCGGAAGATTAGGTCTAGGAGCAACGTGGGGAGCGTCTAGACTTGCTGACTTCCTATATCTAGGCCCACGAGATGATGATGTCGTGGACGCCGTTGGTGCTGACGGTGCTGGCGCTGGTGGAGCTGTTTTGAATAAGTCTCCGTAATAATATGGGCTTGGATTACGGCGCGGTGCGTTCGCGTATCTTGGATCTGAACGGCCGCTATCTGGTGAATGTAAAGACGGTGCCGTAGCAAATGGATCAAATTCACCAAATTCGTTTTCTTCTTCTTCTGATGATGAAGTACGATCATCCGTCGATGATTCTATAACAAAATGAAACCATATCAATATTTTAACTACTCCAATATCGATCTAAAACCATGTGTGTGAGATATTTGTCTAATAAACAAGGGCTGATTCATGTGTTATTATGTGCGTTGATTGTTTCGAACTCACTCGATAGTTAACAGAAAAAAAAATCCGATTAGTTTAATTTTAACTTTGAATTATGGATGTTCTTCAAGCATAGTTAATATAATTCGAAAGCTATATAAAACGCCCTTATAAGAATTACCCCGAATAGCAGAGGCCTCCTGTGCATCGGGAATATAAAATCGATTTTTTAAAACTTTTGAACCAGGACTATACTTAACTACTAATGACTCGTATTCCAAATTCATTTGTCTTGACTCGTATCCCAAATTAATTTTAAGCAAAAGTGAACATTAAAAAAGACATTCGGTTATTAGTTTGAATTTCTGTAAACCTTATAAATATACAACTGAAAGTTTTATTTACACATTTTGACTCAGAATGATTGTTTCAAAATCATATTTTATACTTCAAAAAAATTTACAGTTCTTGTACACACATATCAAAACCATACCATTGGTTTCGGTCTTTTATTATAAATATTTTTTATGAAGATAAAGAATGACAGTGTTTTCAAATTGTCAGCTCGACACATCAGCATCGTCATTCGGACAAAATAACGTCAAAAACTGGGCAAATTGTCTATTAGCACTCAGCAAGGGTACGCAAGGGAGAATAAGTGACGTCATTACGTGTAGTAATTGCTTTTCCGCGTGGATGACCAGCGAAGCGAAATTTGTTAAATTGAAGCGATTAACGTGTTAAATGTCTTTCAGAAATCACTTCAGGGGTTAGGTGTGTACTCAATAATTTTGGTGTTCAAATAGATATCGCTAGATGAATAATCAGTTTTTCTTAATACTTAAATTTTTTCTTCCATTCTAAAAAACAATCGATTAAAATTTCCAGTATAATTAATAATCATCTAAGGTGGAAAGTTAAATTACAGTGTAAAAGTAGAAAGTCAAAACGTGATATAAATCAACGTCGGTTTAATAGTGCAAGAAGACCGCAATTAAAGTCCTCGGCTTATTATCTACTTTCCAACATTTTTCTGAGTCTAGACGAACGAACAAATGACAAAAGGTCTGATTAAAAGTCGCCATTGTTGTTCCGATACTAGTAGAGTTCGCATTAACTAGGTATCCTGAACGTGTCCCTTGATGCAAAAAGTCCTTTGCGTAGAAAAACTCGATTGCTACTGGCAGTTTGTTTCAACACAAGCTTGATTACTATAGAACAAACATTTGTATCCATTTATATGTGTACTAATTATTAATTGTATCTGAATTAGAAAGAGAAATAAATTAGGTATATGTCATTATTATTGAACAATAAAGGCAATTTAAGATATTCAAAATTCCATCTCAGATAAATAAATTCTCGTCTCAAAGTAAGGACACGGGATTATGCCAACAGAACAATGGTTTAACAAGGCCCCGCCGCGATTGTTTCACGTGAAAAAAGGATCCATTGTCTATGGAAACTCGAGATGAGCTAGGATATGGTCCTTAAGCGTGAGAGTCTGCACGAAAAAATCTATTCACTCAAAAATAGAACATAAAAACATTAAAGAGCTGGTTAGTTGCAAACCTAAACTTTTTTATTCGAATTATCTTGACTTCCATATTTAAATCCCATGTAATGTAATACAAATAAAACATAAATCAGCTCCGTAGAATCTTTAATTTGGATCATTATTCAGAGTCGAATAACGTTCGTTAATGGCTATTATCATATTTTGCAATTTCAACGATTTGTGGTTGTAGATTGTAGTTGTGCGTTATAAGCGTTATCGTTTCGTTGGCAACGGAAATAGATTCCAATTTCGTCCATGAATGAATGAACACGAGCATGTCAATAATCGCATACTACCACGTATTCGACAACGAATTAGTAAAACTAGTTTTGATACGTGTGTACAACAAATGAATGCCATTAGATTATAAAATGCATATTAATTCGAATGTGACTGTCTAAAATTAATTAATCCATTGAATTACTATAAAACTTACCTGATTCGTAGTAAAGTTGAGATCGGTGTCTAGACTGTCTATCGTGTCTCAACGGAGCAGACGGCGCTGGCTCAGGGGGTGATTCAGTTGAACCCTCAGGAGCACTCTCGGGGCTACGCCTCGAAACTCCTGGAGTTGATAGATCAAAATCGGTCCTCCTGGCGGATTCGTAATCCGCCCGACGTCGAGCGGACTCCCCGTCGAACTCGGGACGTCTTCCCGAATCACCGTCTAAATCGCGTCCGTAATATCTTCTCGATTCGTAATCATACGATCGACGGCAGGAATCAAATTCGTAAGCTCTGCGGGAATCGTAACGCCATTTGGAAGTGTCGGGAGATCTTCGTGGTTCACGAGAGCGACGGTTGCGTTGTGGAGATCGCCTTGCTGTGTCACGAGGTGTACAATACGCCTCTACGAATTCTACCTGTAACAATACAACCAGTATTTAATATTACCACGAAAGAATAGCATTTTCTTAGTCGCTTGCTCGCATGGTTACTTACACTTCAACTTCATATTATACGTTATATGATTTTAATAGACACTTGTACCAAAATTTATTTACCGACCAACCACCACATTTTAGGCTGTTTTAGTGCAGAATTAGCCGAAATTGTTAGAAATACTCCAGTATCCATAGTTCTAAAGTTTAATTCATCTATTAAGTGAGTGGAACATTCCGTTAACAAAACTTCACATTCTCTAGTTTGTTACAAACATCATAGATTAATATTTACGTTCATTAAAAATGCAACGGAAAGTGACCAGATCGCAGTCTACATATTATGACGGTAAATATTTATTAAAGTCTATATTCATGTATCACAATATATGATGCGGCTCACACCAAAATTATAATTTGCTTGTCAAAAGAAGTTGCTTACGAACGGTTTACAGAGAAATCATCGCATACTAAGCGGCTATTAGAAAAGAAGCCTTTTATCAAGAAGGTCGATTATGTGACAAAGTAAAGTGGTAATAAAATGCAGCGGTCACATACCCGACGACCGTAACGGCCGGTTAGGCGTCCTCGCCCCTCGACGATCGTCATTACTACGACCGTTTCTGTTTATGGGGATGGATATAAAGAATATTATGAGATATTGTGCCCTGCATCGACGATACGATGAGGTGATAACATTTCAGGGGACACCGCGAAATTTAGTTCATTCGAGAAGACAAATTTTTATAGCGCTATATGGGATTGCGTATGCTTTTGGCTGTGACCGCTTTTAGTTATTTCTGTATTTTTTGGTAGGTATAACAATATTTCTTTTTCAAGTCATAGAATGGCTACAATGGCCTTTCACTTTCTTTAGGACAGTGATTAAGTCTGCTTACCTACTACATCATATTTAATTATTTTAGCTATGTCGTAACAGAAATCTATCGTAAATTTTCCTAGACTATTTAAATGACATGATATCTGTTTAACCCGGGGGTTGATTTAGCCCATTAGAGCTTGCGATGAGCCACGCTTCCGCGCCTCCGGTCATGGAGGGCATCTACGACCGCTCTCATTAAGGGTTAAATTACTTGCGAGCTCAAAGGATCCAACCTCGAGCACTGTTTACGTAAAACTTCTACACACGCACATCGCTTACGTAATCATTTGCGCAAGAGTATTATGACGAAATTGAAACTTAACGCATTCGATATTGCAAAGATTAATGACTATCACCAAATGATTTAAAATGATAATGTTTGTTGATTCATTTTACTTTTACCAAGCTGAATCACTATGCAGTAACTTGTAAAGATAAGATTTCTTTAACAATATTAGCATGGTAATTAAAAGACCATATTTTTGAGCACGTATTCAACTGGGTAAAACAATACTCGCCGAAACTTGGTGAAAAACATAAAAGACATAACTCGAAAAAACATAAATAGAGGGTCCACGTTCCGGTCTTTCCCTAAGGGCTGCTCTTTATTCAAACTTTTATAGAAGGGTAAGCTTCATCTGGCGCATTGTTTAACGATTCCTTGCTATGCATGAAAATTTATTTACATAATTAAACGTCGGCCATGTTACTCCCGTTTTGATTTGCGATGTCTACAAAGATTTCTGGTCCGCCATTTGCATTTTCTGTGGTTATATTCAATTAGGGATGTAATAACATAATTAAAATTTTAAACATTTTTTTACAATAATACAAAATAAACATTACAATACTTTTTTGTGTATACAATCAACTTGTCATTGAAAGATTCACATTGTAAAAAATACTATAATTAGACCTTTCAGAGTAACTTTGCTTCTGCGTATGCATATAAATTGCCATGAATAGAATCCTACAAAACTATCATGTTCACTTATTATAATAAGAACAATAAGTTTAATAGTATTCTATATATTATAATAGACAGCGTTCATGAAAAACGTATAAAAATCCTCCGATCTCGATATCTCTATATGAAATCTAGTTTACCGATTCAAATCAATGCCACCATTGAGCCGTAAGGGTTAGCTATAAAAGGGATCAAATTGAATTCTGTCGAAGCACACATGCTCACGGCGTTCCATTCATCAATTGTATCCAGTAATGGGGGAATAGTAGTCAACAGCTCACTTCCTGCGTTTACATTCACCAAAGAGATTTCAAAAAGAAAAATAATTTTATGACTTTTATTCCTAATTGCTAATCATTGAAAAAATTTTATACGTCATTGCCAAAATATCGCCCAACTGTAAGTAGCACTATGTCATTATAAAAAAAAAATTTGGAAACCAGGAACAACAGTTCACCTTAAATACTATGTTAAGTATGGAGGAAGTAAAATAAGAACAATACAGACCTTGCCTTACCGATGCGAAATGAACAAGGAACTTAAATATCGATTTGCTCATAAATCACTCTCCAATAATGTCTACCAGTGTTAAAATAAATTTCGTAGCAGTAATAAAACTAACACATCCTAGAGATGAATAAGTGTTTTGGAATGCAAAAATCACAAGAACGTGTGTTTAATTTTAAATGTCTCCTTATCCTGCTGAGATATATTTTTATGTGCATGACTCATGGGACATAAAAACGCGTCTCTAACATTTTTTCATTATCTTCTAATTCATTTATGGAGTTCCATTTACGATCGTGATAGATTAGGTCTTGCTATATTTAGAAACGTAAGATTTACGACGTAGTTTTCTTGATTGAATGGTTTATCTCATCATAGATAATTTTCATGAATGTAAAAATGAACTTTTAAAAATCTTATTAGCATTTTAGTTTTACTTTTAAAAATGCTCATCAGGTGTTCCATTGAAATTAATAAATTCTCAAAAATAAATACCTACATTCTTCAGTGACAATTTAATTAAGAACTTAACACCAGCATCGCTTTATTAAGATTATCTTTAATCATATTATAGTGGTTGTCATTATCTTCTTGTGACCTTTAAAGAGAAAAAGTCGTCCACAAACAAACGTCCGGGTTCGCCCGTATGACTAATGCTGGAGGATATGGGACAAGCCGCAGCTTTCAGACGGCACGGGATGACTCACTGGGTATTAATACCGGAGACACGCCTCCTATAGCACGAACTAAAATAGAGAGCATTAGCATTGCGTGACTGTCACCGTATACTTTACATAGTTCATTGGGTTTCAGCAAATGCACGAAATTTGAAAATTTACCCATCTTTACCAGGTAAGATAATATACTCAATAGTGTATTCAGTTTGTATATAATTACGATTTAATGGAATATCCAAAATCAATCCTAACTTTCACTATAGAAATGTAGATAATTTTATTTTTAAAATATCATTAACAGATTTTCTATCATAAGATGATAGTGCCATTAATAATAACGACAATAATAATTTATTCATAAATTACATTGTTCCAAATTTTGTTAGTATTACAGTGTATTTAAGGTAATTAACGTATAATATTGCATTTATTGTTTTTTTTACATAACTAGCTTCTTTAATATGAGTAACGTTGATATGAAAAAGTAAGACAATCTTATCTGAAAATATACATACGTATAACTTCATCAACATGACTTGTAGTTACGTTGTCAGATATTAATCGTAGTTTACATAAATACATATTAACTTATTCATAACTACATAGTTACCTACATGTTTATTTGCTAACGTTATAGAAGACTTCTGAAGGAAAGACGAAAAGATGACGCATTAGCACACATCATGTCAGTTTTGTTTACAATAACAAAGACAAAAACAGTAATATGTGCATCGTCATGAACAAATGTGGGCAATAATGTCAATAAACTTGGACTAATGATTCTGACATCTGAAGATCGTGGCTGACAGAATGTGTTCTTCAAGTTACACGGCTGGTTTTAAACAAATGTAAGCCAATTTTATTGACTAGCTGCTTTTATCGTCTGACTACAATCCAGCTTTGTGTCACAAATCAAGTTATGTAGCAACGAAGTGATTTAATTTTCTGTGAACATTTGGCGCGGTCATTCCTGCTCACAAACTCTGTCTGGTCACGTTCAGTAAACCGTAGACCGCAAACAGTTCCAGTACAACTGAATTAAATAGATTTAACATTTTTTTTTTTCAATTTCGTTTTCACCAGGGACGTGCTTTATTCCTGGATTGTTGGCGCGAATCCCCGTCTCTTATATGTCTAGTCTACTAGCTTCATGAAACATTTCATGAATTCTTTCACAATGACAATTCATAGTAGCTCAATAGTGTTTACGTTGTACTTTTATAACTTTTACATCTATTTTAATACTTCAGACAGTTATATTTTTGCCTCTTTTCTTAGTAATAAGAATAACGTTAATATCCTCCTTGCAGAGTTTTCAAGGAGATGAGTAGACAATTGTAGCAATGACAAAACAAACGAAGGAAATAAGCTTAATTACTAAGTTGCCAGTCCGAGTCGCCTGAAGGGCTAGGGGTCTCTTAAGTAGACCCTTACAAATGCTTCAGTGGAGGGAGCAATTACGGAAGAAATTTTCAACACCTCATCGAAAAGGTCATCGCACCCATAAACACAATGAATATTATCTACGCAATCTATTTCTCTAGTTATAACTGTTTGAACAGATTAGTACCATTTATCTATGAAAACGGTTTGCATCATACAATAGGGCTATTTGAGTTGAGTTATTGAATAGAAGTGTCTACAACAATGCAACAACATCATTACGAAGGGTCACCTAAGTCAGAGATGAAATTTGTTTTCTTTGTTAAAGTTCTTCATCTGCCAGAGTCTTGAACATTGTGAGGCGTGATCTTTTGAATGAAAAAGGGAGACCGGATGAGACGGAGATAAATCTTTGTGAACGACATTAGGCTTCGTTCGCATTACTCGTCAGTCAGTTTTGAGTTTCGTTTCCGTTGATTCGCGTGTTATATCAATAAACGCTCTATATAAGTCTTGTTATACAACTTTAGGAAAACAAACGAATGTAGATGATGCGAATGAATTCTCGGGTGGAAGTTTTATTTCGGAGACTTCTAACAAGAAGATTGCGCGTACCATTGGGGGGAGAACTTTGCTCTCTGAACTTGTAACAGAGTTAAGCCAACCTCCTGTAGCTAATCAATATGTACAAGACTCTTGATTATAGATTTTATATTTACTAATTTAATAGAACATTAGATAGGATATGAAAGCTTTTTATGATTGTATACATATTTATTATCAGAATGGATTTGAATGAAATTAGAGTTTAATAAGAGTAAATCTAATGACAACCAAACTTATAAGGTTAATCAGGGATTTTACCAGTTACGAATACTATTTAGAGGAAAATTAACAGGCAAGATTTTAGTAATTATAAATTATATAACTTAGTCACCTCTGACATAATATTACAGTTGAATCAATAACAGTATAATATAACACTGCCAAGCAACTCGTGAACTAATATAACTATGAAAATATATTGAATTAAACTGTTAACCATATAACAATATTGCATATATTATAATAATTTCTATATAATAATTAAAGTAAAATTAAAGAAATCTCACCACGTGAACCACGAGGATCCATTGGAAAATCTGTCGCATTTTCGATATGAGTTTCTTATTTGACGGCATCGTTGTTAAAGCCTCTAAACACAAATCCAATAGTATGTAAGGAATCCAGAAATAGCACTGAACGATCACCAACTTTATCGACCGTTTCACTGACACGCACACTATAAAACTAGGAAATACTTTCACACAACTTGCTTCTTACACTATATAGTTTATTAAGATACAGTCTATTTAATCAACGTATGTTTATATCTAGGCGTTTGGCAGTTGTACCTGCGATATAAAACGCCTAGTGCCGTGCGCTTGCTTGAGACCAACTGTAGACTGACAACACAACTCAAACGTTATACGCGAATGTGTAAAACGGTGACTCATCGTCCCCGCATACTGTTTACCGAGGCTTGAGTCATCGCTGTGGAAATAAACAGGCAGCAATATAGCGCTGCATAAAAACTACTAACCTAAATCTACTCATAGAACTCAAATGCGCTATACAGCGCTAGAACGCTATACTATCAAACGCGGACTCCATTAATACCTCCATTCCGCACGTGTCCCCGATTCTATTTATCGATTGTAGACTCTATTTTCTTTTTCTTAAAGGTTATTTCTATAACTTTTAAATTGTTAACGTTTACTTTCGCGTTTGATTTCGACTTGCATTAATGCTAGATTACGCTCGGCTAGGCCGAATTCCATTTTGAGGTCGTTTGGGTACTCTTATTGGTAACTTGAACAATTGTTGGACGTGGCAAGTACCCGATCTGTGACTGGAATGTTGTCTTAGACTTCGGAGCGCGTTTAATTAAAACAGATACTAACTAGATTAGAAATAGTTGCAGGACTTTCGAAACACACTTCCACCAACAGCCTACTATTAAAGTAAACCATTGATTGCTTATACTTGACAGATGCAGTTTGTTTTTTTTAACAAGCGAACGATGGACGTGTCGTTAGTAGAAAAATGTGATTTCTAATTATCGTGCCGTCGACATCGCTATGAATACATTTGACATTTATTTATGCCGACCTTTTATGGTCGTCGAGCTTTTGCGTAACAAAATAGAACACAGATACAAGTTGAAAATGTTTGATCTCTATTACAAGTTGAATCTCTATAATTATAATTATATACTCTATATAAAGGTTTTTGTTACTTAATTGTAATAAATTTTAATTAATATAAGATTATTTTGGTCAAGGTTACTTATACCTTAAATTAAAATTTGACTAGTATCTTTATACTAAAGACTGACTCTACACTTTCACTTTTTGAAATGTCTGTTTCAGAACTTCTATTTTTTTAATTTAGCTAGTTGAAAAGCTCATTGCATGCTATTTGGTTTTTAATGATGACCTTGAAAAAATAAGTTACTCGAATTTCTTTAACTTAGTTAGGTACGATTTTGTTACTTATAATTTTTCTTTATTCTATGATACTTCAAGTGTGGTACCTATTCTTACAAATAAAAGAGGAATCATAATTATTGTTAATCCCACATTATCGTCAATTCCAGAATAAATAAAGCGTTAATTGTTTGGTTTTGCATTTGTTTGTCATCTAAGTAATAGGTGATATGAATCTTTTAATAGTTCAAGTGTCCAAAAATGCATTACGAACACAAGTAAAAAAATGTAATGTTAATGATGAAAACTTTATACAAACTAACAAGTAGCAAGTAGGCCACAGAGGCCGGTCATCGGATAGGTGACCAAAAATATTATCTCGAGCTACTCCGTTCTTCCGAAGGCAGGTTAAGCCGTTGGTCTCGGGTACATTACAGTCGTTAAAACCATCCAATACGCATTGGGCCAGCGTGATGAGTCATGGCCCATCCTCCTTAACCATCTATAAGGAAGGCCTGAGGATATACAGGGGGACATAAAAAGGTCGATGATGACAAAAATTAAAGTTTTGAATATTTTCCTATTTCTAAAAACATATCATGGATGTTGAGTAAAGTTTTAACGGGAATAGGAATATTTTAGCTAGAAAATTCAACGACGGGCCGTATTGTGCCATGGGCCTTAATTGCCGCAGATACCTTACATGTACACTCACTAGAACAAAAGCACTTTTTTATAATTTCCTGTTGTTTAATGATAATAAGAAAATATCTTAATTCTCACAAACCACCAAACTAGTTGAGATCGTAATGTGGGCGTAAGAATGGAATGATGATCTAACTTGGAAGTTGAACGCTCTCTCTGTTATTCAAGAAATCGAAAAGGTGACATCATTAAGGTTGTTTCATCGAAAAAAGCTCAAGAAACTTTTTGATTGAGAGGCTAACAATCGAGATTGAGATTTAAAATCATATCGTTAAGTACTCTTCGAGTGTTACATAAACAAACTGAATTCGTTATTCATTTTCTTTGAATTGATACTTCACAACTCAATTTTTAATTGAATATTAGTTTATATTTGATTAAATTATTTCTTTGTAACGTGCTTTTGTATCAGTTATTATAAATATGTATTACTGAAACCGGTAGTACGAAGAAGTTTCTTTGGAATTGTTTTAATTATTGAAATGCAGCCAAAATCTAAAAAAGTACAAAATCTCAACTAATAATTCTGAATAACTTATTTTTTTTTACATATCATAATATTTCAATAGTCTTAGTTTTATCAAACTGCTATCAACAGATCGTTAAAAAAAAACTTAAATCAGAAACGAAAGCCTGTATAGATAACGTTTAAGTACAGTATGGAACGTTCTTAACTTTGAATTCTCAATTCCGAAATCGGGTGTTAGTAAACCATAAAATGCTTAAGTTTCTCAGTTATTAAGTCAAGCAATTCACGCTCTTATGTTTTTGTTTATATATATGCACATAAACAACGAAGGTGCCACAAGATGCAGTCCATGCAGGGATGCAACCGGCTAACTCTAGCGTACGTCTTAACAATGTTAGATAATATGTCATTTGATTTTACTACTCTGACATTAATGTACTTTAATAACGACGAATCTATACTAATATTATAAAGCTGAAGAGTTTGTTTGTTTGAACGTGCTAATCAGAGCTCAGGAACTACTGGTTCGAATTGAAGAATTCTTTATTAGTCTGTCAGTCAGATAATAGAAATATTGATCTGACAGCAACGTTATCAACTCAGTCATTTATCCTTTTATTCACCAGAAGATATATTCACCAAATATTGCCACGATATCGCAAAGATATCTAGGAACACGGTTACAGAGTTAGACGGTCTCACTATTCATCTATGTAAAATACAGATGAAAAAATTGATACTGACAATCAACTAAACTTCACTTTAGCAAGTATTATCAATACTACATTCTAGGTAATGTTAACAATCTGAAATCTCACAAAAGTTCTAAAAAAATATATTTTATGATATTTATGATAAAGACACGCAACATTTTTCACCGTCTACAATTTCTGAGTAACTATAATTATTTCTGTAGTTTCTCTTAAGTTTAATAGTCTTAGTTTAATCGAAACCGTAGTTTGACAGTAGCATTTGATAGAAAAAAAAATAAGATTGAAGATATTCGTACTTTCAAACAAACAAACAGTACAGTTTTAATAATCTATAAAAATACAGGGTTAACACAGAGGTTCGATTAAATTGATCATTTATTACCTTTTGAAGAAGGTTTTAGACGAACCTCATTGCTATTAATAAAGACCCGTTTTCTATAATATCATTATTCAATAATGCATAGTATAAAATAAAATCACTTTCCGGCTATTCGTCCTTAAGTATGCTTAGATCTTTAAAACTACGCTACGGATTTTGATGCGGTCTGAATGAATAGGTTCGATTCGAAAGGAAGTCTTTAAGGTATGTATAATACAGGACCACGCGAAGCTGAAAGCTAGTTAGTTAACAATGACAGAAAATTAAATCCATCCTTTAAAACTTATTCATCCACGTCAGTGCTAGTTGAGTCATGCATATAATGCTTTAATTGAACATTTTGAACCTCATATTGCGCTAACAAAACAGAAATTACCTACCGTATCTTTCCCACAGTGCTCAAAATGATTCACACTACTCATAGTAACTAGATGCGTATTCACCAATTAGCGCCGGGAAAATCAAACAACGCAAACGCCTGTTTGACGATTTATTTGTTTACTGTATAAAGTTGTTTACGATGAGTAAGAAACTTGTTAAACAATATTGTTTACAATTCGTGTTTCTTATCGTGCTTGGAAAAGTTATGCGACTTGGTAACACTATCTATGATAAAAATCGATTACTTCGTAACAGAATCAAATTTAAAATGAGGTTAAAATCAATTTAGAAAAAAAAATTACCGAAACGCTTAATCTTTAATCGCAGAAGGAATCAATTTTTGACAGTCTTTAAAGTAGGCATGTTATATGATTATCAAGAAAGCGTCAAAATCAAAAGTTCAAAGATAAATTGAATAAGTTTATACACATAATAATTTTCATAAATTTAATTAAAGTCTGGAAATTTGTATCGATGCTATTATAAAGAGGAATGATCTATACTAATATTATAAAGAGATAAAGTTTCTATCTTTATTTGTTGGTAAGGGATTATCTTCGAAAATACTGATCTTATCATGACAATTCACATACGGGATGCTACATCATATGCGATTGAGATAAGCTATAATTTACACGGATAAAGTCATTATAAAACAGTAATTGATAAAATCCGTCGTATGAACGAAAGTGACACGGCATTTGCCAGTTGCATCGTTAAATGAATGATTCCATATTTAAAAATATGAATCACCGTCATCTAAGCTTTTTCTATTGCCGGTACGCATATGGACTAAGTCATGTGAAAATTATGAATCATTACGTTGACAGGTGCCAGGTGTTAGCTTTTGACATACACCCATATTTTAGGGGGTCTACTACGAGGTAACGGAAGTTATATAAAGGGGTCCTAATCCCCTATTTTTTGCATGACAATTCAAATTACTCCATGAAATATTTCAACCGATACTTTTCGCAGCGACAGTGATGTGTGGCATTATATCCGCATAGTTCATCTTAAATCAAAAATTCTCACAAATTATATAATAGTATTTCAGATATATGTGAATATATATACTAATTAAAAAGCTGAAAAGCTGTTTTTTTTTTGTTTGAACTCACTAATCATGTTGTAATATTTTTTTGTGTTGAATAATCCATTAATCGAGAAAGGCTATATATAGGCTATATTACATTATAACATTACGTTAAGACTAATAGGAGAGGAGCAGCACTAAAAAATAATGCAAAACGGGAGAATATTTTACATTTTGAGACTTTTCCTTGCGTGTGCTTCTTAAACGGTGAAAGGTATATAAAAATTATATATTATGAA